AGTTGTAAGCAAGAAGCCTAGAAGGGCAGGTGGCTTAACCTTCCAAAGAGAAAAAAAAAACCTATAACTGTGCAAATTATGATAAAACAGCATATGCTTGTGAAAAAAAATAAGCTGAGCAAGGGTTCCATTTTATCCAACACAGTGCAAATGTTGAAGTTATTTTATTAACAAAGAAATGAAAGACAAAAGATGTGCAGAACTCAGTATGTAACAGGATTAGAAAAATGAACTGCATTCTAGACATGGATAAATGTTCAAGGTCATTGATCCAGGCCTGTGAGCCTGTGTGGATTTGGGGGCTACTAGGTAAATTGTTGCTTAATGTGATTCTTTGGTAATACATTCAAACCATTCCGTTGTCTCAAGAGTTGTCTCATTTTGTCTCCTCCCCTCTTTTTCTTATACACACTTGGAAGAATTTTGTCACAAATGTCACTGGTTCTACCCCTAGACTTTTGTTGTTGTTTTCTGAGTTCTACTCCTACCTTCTCTTACTAATATCTGGGCTTTATTAATGATTCATTTGTCACAGTAGGGGTAATGTGTATATCCCTGCAGATCCTTTTATTCTGTGGCAACTATCAGCCAAATTAGTAATTGCTGATAGCAGCTTTTTCAACCTAATTTTCTTAATTAAAAAAAAAAATGAATAAATAAAATGAGATAAAGTGTAGAAAAATTTTCTCCAGGTTTTGAAATTTTGAGCATTCAATTTCATCTACCAAAAGGCATCTTTCAAAACCTCATGAAAGATGTGATCAACTCTCACTTCAGGAAGCCTTGATACTATCCAGTGACCAAGCCACGGGAATTTTCAGATTCAAGCCATGTAAACTTCTCAAGCATATTTAAATTAATTAAGAAAATAGACTTAAACACATAATTACATGGCTTCATGCATCAGGCTCCCAATATCTTGCCCCATGCTGAGGCCAAGGCTAGATAAGCCATTCAAGGGAAATAATTGAAACAATCACCTTTGTTCTCAGGATCCAGGGTTTCTGTCACCTATGGAGCTATCTAATTGAACCTCAGCTGGCCAAAATGTAAATGTCAACATATTCCTGGGGATAATGAAAAGTTTATTTCCAAAGGAGGCTTCATTATCTACTTTATCTATCTATCTATCTATCTATCTATCTATCTATCTATCTATCTATCTATCTATCTATCATCTATCATCTGTCATCTATGTCATCTATTACCTACCTATCTGTCATTTATCTATTTTAATTTGGGTCATATCTTTCCTTTTTTAATTACAATTTTACTTTTTTATAATTAAAATTGAGGACTATTCTTCCTTCAGCTATGGAAGCTATTTGTATGTAGCTGAAATAGAAGGAAAGATGAAATTGTAATTATCGCATCAAGATAATATTTGTAAGGTAACATATTACCTATCTCAATGCGGTAATTCATAATTGAACTAAATTACTACTAAATTACTTAAGTAGTTGTAGAATTTAGCAGTTCCGAATACTGCACATCAGAATAAGTTATATCTACTTGAAAAATGTGAAATAATTTGTAATCCTCTTATATTAGAGCAGTAAAAAAAATCAATTTTATGTTTTCACCGATGCATTGCAATTATGTCTATCTCTAGAATGAATACAAAAACCACTTGCCATACTATAGTAAGAAGTAGTAAATGGTGTGTAAATTGTTTGGGGAGTATTATTGATTTGCACAAAATGTATTTCATTTTCATTTTAACTGTTGCCATCTAACATATGAAAATATGTGGCTGTTAACATCTTTTATTTGAGCAAACTGGGCATGTTATTGTTATCAAAATATTGTTTTCAGCAGAGCAAAGGTAGCCGTCAACCTGTTTTATGATATTTCTTGGAGTCTACCATTATGACCAGTATTATGCATGATCTGTATGATTGATATGATCTTATTCTGTTTCTCATTTTGTAGAAAATAAAATCACTCTGCTATTGAGATATCCGACTGCAGAAAATCCAGAAAAAGGAAGTGAGTTTATACTACGGGGTGAAAGACTTAAGATAGATATAAACAGTAATTTCCTGGCTATAAGAGTTGATACATGTAGAAATAGTTGAAGAGAAAGATTTTAAAATCTCATTCTCCAGCGATCAGTGTAACCCAATCACATGTTATTGCTGACGTTGTTGTTTTATGGTTGGTTGGTATAATATCTTTGTGGTTCATTATAAATGGACTATCCAGCAGAACTATCAAATCCAGGCATTCTGCTGAAGCAGTATTCTCTTCTTGGTTCAAGTGCTCATTCTAAGAAAATAAGTTCTATATTTGAAAATTGAAAATTAATATAAAAAAAAGTAGTCATTTTACTCACAAGAGTGCCACATAAGTCAGTGGCATCCAACTGCAACTTAATTTGATTAGATATGGTAACTAGTCATCAAAAGAAAAAAAATGTAAGTGCCATTTATTAAGCAAAGAGCCAAGGAAATTCATAAATGTTCTGAGTGAGAAGTCAAGAACACCCACCGGGATGTGGATAATAATTGAAATACAATCAATTAATTCAACAAACTGGAGAAAAAATTTTAGAGACTTGTGTGATCAGTAGAATGAATGTTGGCTGAAAAGAAATACCACAAGAAATAGGATTGAATATCGTAGTCTTAGAATTAAAAAGGAACTCACAAATTTTTACTTCAATCTTCCACCTTCCACGTATTGTAGGGGACACTCTACAATATTTCCTTCATTTGGTCACTCATCAACTGTTTAAATCCTCCTTTAAATGATAAGCAAACCAGCCTTTAAATCACTAGATAGTGTTATTGTCATTTAATATCTTGTTATTTTATTGCAGTCTCCCTATATATAACTCCAATCATGATGAGATCCTAGTTTCATTCTTCCAATCTGACATGAATTTATCAATTAATTTATCAAGACCACAATATGTCCTAACACACACATATATAAATATATACACAAATATACATATATATGTACACATACTTATACACTTATACACATCAAGGATATATATTTTTATGTTTAAAAATCAGAATATGTAACAGAGATTCTTATGCAATCACTTTTTAAATTAAATTTATTGGGGTGACATTGATTAATAAAGTTATATAGGTTTCAAGTGTACAATTTGAGAATATGTCAGCTATATATTGCATTGTGTGTTCACCACCTAAAATCAAATCTCCTTTTGTAACCAGATATTCAACCCTCTTTACCCTTATCTACTTCCTCCCTCCCCATTTCCCTCTGATTACCACTAAAACGTTGATTTGTCCGTAAGTTTTGTTTGTCTTGTTCTTTTGCTGCTTTCAGTTTTATATCTCACATATGAGTAAAATCATATGGTTTTCAATTTTTTCTGTCTCACTTATTTTGCTTACTATAATAAGCTCAAGGTTCATCCATGTTGTCACAAATGAAAGTACTTCATCTATTCTTATAGCTGAGTAATATTCCATCATATATATTTACCATATCTTCTTTAGTCATTTATTGGAGGATACTCGGTTATTTTCATGTCTTGGCCACCATGAATAATGTTGCAGTGAACATGGGAATACATATATCTTTATGCATAAATGTTTTTTGAGTAGATACTCAGAAGAGAAATTGCTGGTTCCTATGGTAATTCTATTCTTAAATTTTTGAGGACCCTCCATACTGTTTTGCATATCGGTTGTACCAATTTACTTTCCACCAGCAGTGTATGAGGGTTC